GAGTTAAGATTCTGAATTTAATTTCCTAACTATTTTGGTGCTATGACTAAGTCACTGTATTTTATCCCAATTAAGAAACTGGCACTCATGTTACAAAATTGCAAGAAAAAATATCAATATGGTCTCAAAGATGAACTCATTGATTTTGGCATGCATCACAACATTCCAAAGATAGTATACTATCAGCTCTCATTTTAAGTTCTTTTACTTGTTCCAATGGAAGATAGCATCTCTTTTTATTAAACATTGCCTTGTTGACTTATTTATAGCTTTTATATTTTAAATTTATATTTATTGAGGTAATGTTAATTTATAACATTATACATTTTTTAGGAGAATAAGTTCACATCTCTATAAATGTATGTTACCACACCATTCCTACCACCAAAGCCCCCCTTCACCTTATTCCACTGGGGTCCCCTACGCCATTTGCACCCATTCTCCTTCTGGTAGTCTCAATTCAGATTTTAAAGGTTTGCGTTGTTTTATTTTTTTGTCTGCTTTGTTTTCTATATTCCATATAAGTGAAATCATTTGGCATTTGTCTTTTTCCTTCTGACTTATTTCACTTAGCATAATCTCCCCCAGTTCCATCCATATTGTTACAAATGGCAAGATTTCATCATTTTATTTTATAGCTGAGTAGTATTCCATTCTGGTATATATGCCATATTTTCTTTATCCATTCATCTGTCATTGAGCACTAGGTTGTTTCCATGGCTTGGCTTCTATAACAATAGGAGTGCCTATGCTCCTTTAAATTAGTGTTTTTATATTCTTTTGGTAGATACCTAGGAAAGAGATTGCTGGATCCTACGATAGGTATGTTTTTAATGTTTAAAGAAACCTTCATACTGTTTTCTGTAGAGGCCAGACTAGTCTACACTCCCCTGAACAGTATACCAGGTCTCCTATTTTCTCCATATCCTTACCAACACTAGTTGTTTCTTGTTTTGATATGGACCATTCTCACAGGTGTGAAGGGATATCTCATTGTGGTTTTGATTTACATTTCTCTGGTGATGACACACTTGCTGGCTATCTGTATGTCTTCTTTGGAAAAGTGTCTATTTAGCTCTGCTGCCCATTTTTTTTTTTTTTAAATAGAGGCATGTTTTATTTATTTGTTTGTTTGTTTGTTTTCATTTTATACATGCACTGGGTACAGTCAGAAGCGCGGGAGGGCGAGAGAATTCACCAGAGCCAGAGCGGGGAGCAGAGCAGGCAGAAGGACCGAAGTACACTGCTGAGGGGAGCAGTGGGCGGCAGGAGAGGTCCGCGCGCCATGTGGGACCCTCCTCAGGTGGCCGGGGAGCAGCCGGGGATCGAACCGGCGCCGCAGAGGCCACGGGCAGTTTCGCAACCCAGCGCTCAACCGCTGCGCCACCGGGGAGGCCCTCTGCTGCCCATTTTTTGATTTTGTTATTTCTTTTGTTGTTGAAATGTATGAGTTAGTCATAGATTCTGGATATTAGTTCATTGTTGGATAGGGTGTCTTTTTGTTTTACCGATAGTTTCTTTCCATGTGAAAGGAAGTTTTTAAATTTGATGTAGCCCTATTTGTTTATTTTTCTTGTTTCCCTTGTATTGCAATGGAACAAAATTTAGAGGTCAGAAATAGGCCCACATTTATATGGACAGTTAACTTAAGACAAAGGAGCCAAGCAAGGTCAGTAGAGAAAGCAAAGTCTATTCAACAAATGGTGTTGGGAAAACTGGACAGCCACGTACAAAAGAATGAACCTAGACCACCATCTCACACCCTACACAAAAATTCAAAATGGACAGATTAGGATGTAAGACCTGAAATCATAAAAATACATAGATGAAAACATAGGCAAAACACTTCGTGATAGTACTATCACGAATAGTGATGTCATAGGGGACTTCACTACATTGGCAATATAATCTGTTTTAAATACTTAATTCTATTTCTATGATAAAAGTATAGGAGTGTAAACCCTCTATGGTAATGTACATGTTCTATAGATCACGGTGGAAAAGTTCAATAGGTGTTTTTAGATTTGTGTATAGGTTTTTGTTGTTTGCTTTCTTCCAACTGTCTGCTTCTAAGAGGTAAAGTACAAGTTGAAAAGGCCAGTAATTTCAGAAAGAGTTATTCCTTTTATCTCAAAAAGGAATAAAAGGACAAGAAGTTCTACTCCGTATGGACAAGAAGAGTGGTTTAGGCAGTCTTTACCTTTTGAAAACTTACTGAGTTTTAGAAGATCCATCAAAATGTGTTCACAGTGGTAATAGCCGTTTTACTAATTTCACTTTACAATGCTCCATTGTTCTTTTACATTTCATTCTTAAAGTTAGAATGCTTTCAATTAGTAAGAAATGATATGACAAACGCTTTAAAGAGAGCAAAAGTAAAATGGAATTGGTAATATGAAAATACAAGTAAATTAAAAATAGTACTTTACTGAAGCACAAAGATGGCATGATTTGGTAATTCAGAAATACAACTATCCAGAAAAGATGTAGGACATTTTGGTTAAAAAAAAATCAAATGTCAATTGAATTTTGTATTTGTCACCACATATTTTTCTCTACCATTACTATTGAACTAAGAGCTCACTGAGAAAGTTTCATTAATTTAGAATGGCTGGATGGGATGAATACGTCCAGGTTACTTGAAATTGATATGAAAATTTGAATTTGAGTATGTTAAATAGATTAATCTGAATTCCCCTATTGAACAGTAAAATGATTTCTGGTTAAGATGTCTCTTTTTAAAAAGGCATAAAATTTGTTTTTTTAGATAGTTACATCTCTTAAAATTGTTAGTTTGATTATAAAAAGATAAGGATAGACGCATAGCCTACATCCTTTTTAGGAGGCACTACAAAAGGAAAAAGCTTTAGCTCAGCTTATTTCCAAATCGCATTTTCTAGGTTCATTGGGTTTTATTGCTTTAAAAAAAAAAGTACACCACACAAATAAGAATCATTTAGCAAGAAGACCTTTAAATTCCTCCTTATCAGCTTGGAAAATCAGCAATCAAAAGTCTGAAAACACAATCCAGATATTGTGTATTTTATGCCACAGAAGCGTACTTTCAGAATTCTGAGCTTAAATATAGATGTCTTTTTCCTTTTATGATAATGTTTAGCTACTTGGTGTTTACCTCAGGGTGAGAGGTGCTGACTGGGAGAGGGCACAAGGGAGCCTTCTAGGACATTTATCTTAATCTGGTGTTAACATGAGTGTATGCATATGTAAAATTTCACCTAGCTGTACATCGAAAATTTGCGTACTTGATGGTATGATACACCTTTAGAAAAAAGCAAAAAGAATGTTTAGTCACTTTCTAAAATGCTCACCAACCATTTTACAATGAATCATTAATGCAATTTTATAAGTCAAAATGTATAGGGGAAAACATCTGAAGCTTGTGACATAACGACTAATCACCATTAGCAACACCTGAATTAAGTCTCTGAAGCTAGAGCAAAGCTTTAGTTGAGGGCAGAAAAACTGTTGGCAGAATACAATGTATTCATTTAAATACACAGGATAGAAGTGTAGTAACAGTTTAAACAACAACTAGAAGATCAGAACATAGTTCAATAAGAGTCATGACTATGGCATAATTATGATTACCACGCTTTTTGTTTCTTCTTGCTGTTTGGGTTTTGTCATTGTATTGCTTGGACTTGCAAAGGATGGGGAAGGAGAAGAATTAAAGTTAAATTAGTTTTGTTACCTGTTTTCAACTGTTGTTTTTAGTCTGCTAAAAAAGCCTAAGTTATGATTACGATTTTAAATTATGCATTATACTTTCTATCTATTAAGGGAGAAAAGAGTGGTTTTTACGCAGGAAATATAAACACTTCCTCAGCTTCAAGCGTTTTTTACTTTTGCTCTAACTACATTAATTCTCATCCCCCCAAAAGCTTGAGAGGATTAGCTGCATACACCAATATTGTTCTATATTAGTCAGTATTAAGCATATGATGTCACCTTGTTTCCTCCCCTCCTCAAGCTTTTTTTATTTTTTTTCCCTCGCGGGGGGTGGGGTGGAGAGACTTTTGGGGACAATTCTCAAAATTCTATGGCTTAAATACCACGAACTGACACACATGATTGACAACCTCACACTCCCAAACCTGTCTGAAATGGGTCAAATACCTAAGCGGCTGCAGAACAATGCAATCCAACTAGCAATTCCTCATAAAAGAGAAAGGGGGTGTGATTAGGTTCCAGCTATTAAGCAAGTTATTGCAAAAACAGTTTGGTGGTTTGTTTCTGCAATAGGCACAGTTTCAGCTAGTATCTTCTCTTTCAGTGAGCTCCCAAAAAAGACGAGGCTGTGAGAGGTAGGATGAATAGCGAAAGCACGAAGCAACTGGGGCAAACCTAAGGGCTTGAGGGAGGTCTTTACACTGACCCTCGGCGTGGGGTATTATTGATCATTAACCCTGCTGGGGAACTATCGAACGGAATTCGTGTGAGGCTCATCAAGCTACAGGAAAGGAGATGCAGGAGGGAATATAAGCTTCTAATAAAAGAAACGCAGCAACAATAGCAGAGGAACAGCTCTGCCTGGTGACGTAATGGCTGGCAGCAATCCAGCCTCAGCAGAGCTGCTGCTACCTCAGCATCAACCAGCCTCTCTCAGCACAGTCCAGCTTCGGCAGAGCTACCCGGGCTGCTACTTCTTGCGATGCCACTTTGTGGGTGCCGCCAACACCTTACCTTGGGGGGGGGGTGCAGAACACCAAACAAAGGGTTGTCCTGCCCGTGGGAAGTTGTCAGAACACACTCTCATCCACTGCCTCCCCCCAGCCCCTCCGTCACCGAGGCAATCACCTGCTGAAGTTCATTCAGGGCAGCAAGCCTGGCGCACACTCCGGGAGTGCCTCAGTTTCCCCAGGTTGCTCTCGGGGGGGCCCCCCACCCCCGACCCGGCCCCCCACAGCGATCTTCCGCTGGAGTTGATTGCCGCGGCCGCGCTCACCCTCCCGGCCCGCAAGCCTGCCCTCCCGCCTTACCTCCGCCAGGTAGAGGTTGAGCAGACAGAGCGTGGAGAACTGGAGGCAGGAGGGGAAGCAGTAGAGCAGCCAGTGCGGGAAGAAGTGCAGGTGAGCGGGCGGCCGGAGCAGGGGCAGGGAGCCGCTGAGCGAGAAGGCGGCGGAGAAGAGGGTGGTCCGGAGCGCTGCCCACAGCAGGCAGAGGAAGAGGCAGAGGCTCTGGTAACTCAGCCGCCGCTCGCGGTACAGGAGCAGCCGCCACAGTTGCAGGTAGGCAAAGGCGAAGAGCGCCGCGTAGAGCAGGGCGTGCAGGACGCTCAGCGCCAACTGCACCGAGCCCGGCACCGCGGCGCCCGAGGCGGCAGCGACCGCGCCTCCGCCCGCGCCGCCCCCGCCGGGCGTCGAGGGCTCGCGGCCGGCCGTGGGGGCGGCGGCGGCCGCCGCCCCGGCACGGACACCCTCATCGGGCCGGGGGGCGGGCGCGGGAGCGCGGGAAGCGAGGGGCCGCACGCGGAGCCGCCGTCGAGGGGGAGCAGGATCGCCCCCCGGCCCCCCACCCACCCCAGCCTCCAGCCCCAGGAAGTGCCGTGACAGGACCCGGAGCCCCGCGCCCAGCAGCCGCGGCTCCCCGGACCCCGCCTCTTCTCCTCGCCCCCCCCGGGGGTCTCGGCTCCTCCTGCTGCGGCTCCGCTCAGTAGCTGCAAAAAACAACTCTTCGCTGGAGACAATCAGCTGAGAAACCCGAGCATTTGAGGCGCTCGCTCCGCACGGTGGGCTCTAGCCGATTGGCCCAGGCGGGCACGCCCCCCGCGCGCCGCACTCGGAAGGCCATAGGCCGCGGGACCCGTCGCTCGAGGGATGGGCGATCTGATTGGGCCTTCGCTTTCCCCGCTTTCTCCCGCCCCCTTACTGCCCACCCACACTGCCGATTGGCCCAGCAACTGCACATCCCACTCGCGCCGGCGGGAGGACTCGTTTGTCGCCCGTCACCTGGGGCGGCTCTCGCTCCGCCCCCTGAGCTTCCCATTGGCTGGCGAGCGCTTACGTAAGGAGCACGAGGAGAGGGAGGAGCCTAAGGGCTTGTTTTTTTTTTTGCCTGGGAACCTGACTCCGCGGAGCGGGTGACGGTCGCTGGTGCAGAGGCCCGGGTGCCGGCGCGGGCAGGTAGGCGTGGAGGCTCGCGTCGGCTGGGCGAGCAGGGCACAGCCCCGCCTTTTTCCCTCTCTCGCGAGGAGGGAGCTGCCGGCCGCGCGCCCGCGGGGACCTTGCGGGTCCTCGCCGGTGGGTCTTGCCCGCAGGTGTCGGGCAGGTAGGTAGCAGCGCGGTCCTCGCGGGGCGGCGGGGGGAGCGTGCGTGGTTTCGCCTGCAGGGATGGGCATTCGGATTCGGAGGTTCTGCTCTAGCTGAGGCCCTGCGGCCGGGCTCTGGAGTTTGTCTTACAAGGGACCGCATCTGAATCCTTTTGAGGGGCATTTTACTTTCTCCACCTCTCCCCCCTTCTCACCCCCCACCTGCGTGAGCCTTGAGAGAAAAACGGGAGCCCTTTTTGGGGAGAAGGGATGAAATGGGGCGCCTATGCTGTACAAGGGAAAGACGCTGTCCTCCCTCGGAAATGAATCTTAAGAAGGAGAGGTGTAAGGGTTAGATGGATGTCTAAGGGATCTGTGAGGAGGGGATAGTGGGTCTTTGAAACTAAGAATTTGGAAAGATGCTCCGGGCATAAGTTTAGGCAGCAAGTCAGAAACTGGACTGTGACTCTTGATGATTGTCTTGAGAGGAAGAAGTGGAATAATAGTCCGTGTTCCTTAAATTCCACAAGTGTTTATTTCTCCAACTGTATGTGGTAGATGATGGCACTATTCCTGGGGCTCAGAGAGATACCTACCCATCAATTGCTGTATTACCTTATTGTTGGCCTTTTTTTTTTTTTTTTTTTGGTAATAAAATGAACAAAGTTATGCAAAATGAAGAGAAAATTTGTGTTCTCCTTAGAATAAGTGGTACATCACAAATTTAGTAAGCTAGTAATCCAGTGAAGGACACAGCTACATTTGCTGTCCCAAGACCCTGTTCTAACTCACCATCCTTTGTGGTAATAAAACTTTGCCCAAGTGTTGCTTTCTTCTTTCTTAGTTAAGTAATCCAAAGGGAACTTTAAAGTCTCTTTTGTGCAGCCGATTCTGGAACAGAATCTAGTTAACCCAGGCACCAGATACTCTTGTGTTTTGTACTGACAAACTGTGATAGATGGTTAGGCCTGGAACTGATGTGTGGCTATTGTTAGATGAAACATTTAGCTGAGGAGGTTGTGAGTGCAGCCTACAGTAGGCTGTACAACTTGCTGTAAAATGTTAACAAGCTTAATCCTACAGCAACACTTCACTGCAAGATTGCACACTTATTGGAACTTAAGAACTGTACATTATAGATTTTTAGAGAATGTGGCTAGGGTGGTACACAGTTCTGTTTGAAAGGGGACAGAGTACTCATGAAGCAAGTTAACTACAGTTATGTGCTTAAGTGTGTGTGTGTGTGTGTGTGTGTATGTATATATATATATATATATATAAAGTGTGAACTCAGAATTATCTGATTTTAGGATCTTGTCAAAATCAGCGGCACTTCCTGTTCTCTGACATGACTGTTTTTGTATCATCTATAACCAAGAAGGTGTAAGTTTGAGGTCACCAATAGACTTTGACCGTGAAGATTCTTTGCGTTTTCTTCTATATTCTCTACTTAAAGTGATATAAACAATATTTTTATAGTATCCATACTATAGTTTTAGGTTTTGCTTGTGAGATTTTTTTTATCTCTGACAGAGCAAGGCCAGATAGCCTGCTTTTTTCTCTTTCTTTTTGCTCAACCTACTTAGAAAGGGCTTTACTTTGAGAGGTTGACTCCTTTGGGTAAGTGATAAACTCTGATGAGATCTAACTAGCATTTTATTTGAGGTTGGTTCATTGAGCAGGTTCTGTTCTCCAGTAGCCACATTAAGCTGTAAATAAGCTATTTTTATTTTTACAGAATGTTCTTACAGGAATTTGGTAAGCATTATATGCCCCATTTGTTACAAAATATAAAATGAATCACAAAATATAAAGTGAATTTTTCGCAGAGACCTGATGCCACAGATTTTGGTATAATTTGTTTAATGGTTACAGTTGTAAATTTTTTGTGAGAGGAATACCTCTTATTCTTGAGAGGGAAAACCATCAGTGTTATAATGAATCATAAGGAAAATTTCTGCCTATGAAAGGGAAACCAACCAAGGGTTTTTTAGAAAAACTTACTGCTAGAGTTTCTAAAAATTGTCCACATGCACAATGATTGAATGTCTTTCTAGGAGAGTAGATTCCTGTAACACAGTGATCTTTCAAACATTTTAAAGCAAAACCATTTAAAATATTACGTGGAGGATACCGTTCCACAATGAAGTGTGCCATTAGCTGCTGCCCAGGTGTAGGACACACGCGAAGGCCCATCCATCCTTGCCTCCTTCTTTCTCCAGCCTGGAGATCGGTGTTTTTCTCATGAAGTACTTCCTCTTCATTGCCTTATGGCTTCTTTTTCTGTGTTCTGGTGCCAAACAAAACAAACTTTTGTTGTCCTGAGCATTTTATTTGCAAGCTTTAGCCTTTTTTCCCCTCATAGTGTAGCCTCACTGATGCTTTCTCACAGTGTTCATCACCCTCATATTTGTCCTTTGTTAAATATTATACTCCCCCACCCCTAACTTTTAAGTGACCTGTGTGTATATATTTGTTCAGAGTTTTTGGGTAAGGCAAAAATTGTATTTTCCCTTCCAATTCTGAGTAGTGCTGAGGAATTGGGGACAGCTTTCAGGCACAAATAGTAAGAGTTTGCACAAATTGGGAAGTGTATGTATATATTGTAGTTTTGGCAAACATTTGACTTCCCACTTTTTTTTTTTTGTATTGGCACCTGTTCGGGTAATATAGTCAGTTGCATTTTAAAGAGTTAGCTTCCCTTTTTGAATCTTCCTACAGTGAAACTGGGTCAATTTCCTGTGAATTCTTTGAAATAGAGTGCTGTAAAATCTAGGATATGAATTCATGTTTAAGGCATTGTTCCCTCAGCTGTTACTAAAACCAGTAGAGCTCGGTTGGGCTATACTATAATAACACCTCAAATTGGGTTTAAAACAACAACATGTGAAAAATGCTCACCCAAGATCATCTGGGAGCTTTGTCCTATGTTGTTTTCTTTCTGAGACGTGGTTGGACAAAGAAGGCCTCATGTTGAGTGTCACCAATCTTCGTAGCAGAGGAAAAGTATGTCATGATTCATGACACCTATTTTGACCCTTAAAATCTTCCAGAAGTTACATATGTCACTTTCCACATTTCATTGGCCAAACCAAGTCATGGTCACACCTAACTTAAGGAAATGGGAAAGTATAATATTAACATATTTTGAGAACTAGAAACATTTAGACAGTCTATCCTTGCCAACAAATTCTCGTTGTGCATCCATGACCCATCCCAGTGCAGATAACCCTCAAATCCCATGAGTCCAGACAAATTCAAAGTCCAGATTGTCTGAGTAATGCCCAGTAGTGGTAATCTCTATCAGTGTGGACATGGTAAGTTACCCGTCTCCCTGAATAATATAGAAGGTAGTGCTGAGACAGAGAACTATAATAAGTGTTCCCATTTCAGACATACACCAGATTCAAGACTTCAGCTATTTTGAAATCTTATTGAGCAGATGTTGACATGACTCTAATTCCCTGGGGTTCTCTAGGTAAGTACTTTTCAAACTATATATTATGAATGACCAGTTGTTTTTCTTTTATTCCAATCTACTTTGAATTTTGGTTAAAATTGATAAAGTTGAATGATAAGAAAATTAAATGAAAAACATGTCAAAGTATAATGCCAATTTAAAGTCATTCAATCCAATAGACAAAAAATTACTATAAATCTTCAAAACATTTATACTGAATATCTATTTTTATCTCATTACTGAAAACTAGCAACAAACAGTTCATATTCTGGCACATCGCCTAGAGCAGAGTTCTCCATGGTCCTTAGCCTTGCCCTGCAAAAGGTCCTTCCATTTTTATTATCCTTGGCCACATCTGAAGCTGCCTTTGGAGATTATGGCTTCTTTCCATGGCTGAGTAGTTTTTTTTTTTTTAAAGATTTATTTATTATTTATGCATAGAAGAGCTGGGGTACAGGCCAGAGATGCGGGGGGAGTGGGGGGTGAGAGGATTCACCAGAGACAGGATGGGGAACAGAACAGGCAGACTGTCTGAAATAAACTGCTGAGGGGAGCAGCAGGTGAGACAGGAGAGGTCTGCTTCGCCCTGTGGGTTGCTCCCTAGCTGGCCGGGGATCGAACTCATGCTGCAGAGGCTGAGGATTGCTTCTTAGTGCGGTGCTTAACCCCTTGCACCACCAGCGAGGTCCAAGGCTGAGCAGTTTTGACAGCTTGCTTTCCAATAATAGAAGGGTGGAGACTTAAGGATTGTTTTAAGTTCTGAATAGCCAGACACTTGGATGGTGGTTCTTCTTTTGAGTATATTTCCTTTAATACCTTGTTAAACACAACCAACAGCAGTGATCCCACAATTTTCAGCTCCTGCCTTCCATTTTCTCATCAGGCTATAAACGGTTCAGTAGGCACAAAAGCCTAGGTACATGCTTTTGATAAATTTATTAGGAACATGTCATCTCCAAGTTATTATAGTAATAGTTTTATCAAATGTTTTGCTACTCCTTAATGTGGATAACTTGCTGAGTTCTAGTCTCTGATACAAGTTTCCTTGATTAGGTCCAGAAGTTTCCTTTTTGCCTGACCCTGAGTCAGTATTTTGGGGTTCGTGTTAATACAGTATCTCACTCTGGTTTGTATACCATTGTAGAGAGACTAGATTATATTGCAACAATAAGCCCTAAGTCTCAGTGATTTAAGACAATAAGGTGGTTTATTTCTTCCTATGCCACATGCTCATTGATGAGCTGGGAGATTTTCTGTGTTGTGTTTATTTTTAGTCTGATACTGATGAACAGCCACCATTTGAGTGTCTTTAGTGACTGTGACAAAAGAAAGTGACATATATATCATATATAATAGGTGCAGCCCAGCTCTCAAACACTGCGCCAACCAGGGGAGGCCCATACCATAGTTTCTTTATCCAATTCTCTGTTGATGGTTAATTCCATGCTTTGACTATTGTGAATAATGTTTCTATATATAGAGGGGTGCTAGTATTTTGTGCTATATTTAGAGGGGTGCTATATATAGAGGGGTTAGTAGTATTTTGATTTTCTTTCAGTAAATATCCAGGAGTTGTATTGCTGGATTGTTTGATGTTTATATTTCCCATTTTTAATTTTTTAAGGATTCCTTATATCATTTACCACATAAACAGCCCAATTTATATTGGCACCAACAGTGAATGAGAGTTCCTTTTTCTCTGTATCCCCATCAATAGTTCTTTCCAGTCTTTTTGTTATAGGTCATACTCACAGATGAAAAGTGACATCTCAAGATGGTTTTGACTTGAATTTCTTTTATTATAACTGATGCAGAGATTTTCATGTGCCTGTGGCCATCTATATGTTTTCTTTGGAGAAGTGACTATTCGGGTCTTCTGCCCACTTTTTAATTTGAGTTGTTTGTTTATTTGTTGTTGAATTGTATGAACTCTTTTAAATATTTAGGAGATTAATCCCTTGTTGACTTGTGATATACAATTTTCTTCTCCTAGTCCATGGGTTGACTTTTTGTTTTGTGGTGGTTTCTTTTGCTTTTTAATTTGGTACCGTCCTATTTATTTATTTTTGCTTTTGTGTCCCTTGCCTTTAGAATTGAGTCTCCAAATACATCTCTGAGGTAGATGTCCAGGGGAGTATCATCTATGTTTTTTTTTTTTTAATCTGTTTTATGGTTTCAGGCTTCCATCTAAGACTTTGATCAGTCTTGAATTAACTTTTTAAATGGAGTTAAATACTGATCTAGTTTTTTTTTTTTTTTTTTGCAGGTCACTATCTTTCCCTACACTATGTTGAAAAGGTTTTTCTTTCTCCATAGTATGTTCTTGGCTTCTTTGTTACACAGTCCATATTTGTGTGGGTTCATGTCTGGGCTTTCAATTCTACTCTGTGTTTCAGTTTCTCCTCCAACACCATACTATTTTGATTACTATTTCTTTGTTTGAATTCAGGGACTATGATACCTCATTGCTTTGTTATCTGGCATCTTTTGTGTACTATACAAATTTTAGAATTGTTTGGTCAATTTCCTGAAAATTGCCATTGGTATTTTGATGATATTGTGTTGAATCTATAAATTGTTTTAAGTAATATGGCAATTTAACAATGTTTATTCTTCCAATCCATGAACATACAGTATCTTTCCGTTTCTTTGTGTCTTCTTTTTTTTTTTTAGTGTCTTATAGTTTCATTATATAGGTCCTTCACCTTTAAGCTTATGCCTAATATACTTGAATCTTTCAATTGTATTCACCCCTCTTCTTCCTCCTCCATCTTTCATTTGTGTTTTATTGAAATGCTTAATCTTTTAATTAGGCTGGAATTATTTCATATTGTGACAGATTTTATATTGTTATTCCTTTAGACACAGGATATATTCATTCTTCCCCTCCTCTCAAAATATAAAGAAAATATTGAGTGACCTATTTTAAGCCCTTCCCATTAATATGAAGTGGCTTTGAAATATTCTGGATTAACATAGCTATAATATGTAATCAGTTTTAAAGTCAAGGGTACCCCTTAATTATATCATTAAAATTACTTCTTAATGATTCCTCATGGTTCTCACTTCTCATGCTATTTGAGTTTTTGAACTCTTGGCTCCTATTAAAAATTAATGATAATTTTTTTTGCACAGACATAAACTAATTGTAATGAAAAAAATTTTTAGGAAGTAATCAATGTATAATAACTTCTTTTTTTTTTGGGGGGGGGGAATAACTGCTCCTTGGGGGAGAGGTATTATGTACTTATTGATAATATTGAAAGGCTAGAGTAAATATCCAATTTAGTATGATTTTCCCCTAAATTATTATTTTATTATTTTATTCTTTACTGAAAAAATTCTTCCCCTTTTTTATGAGTAATTTTTTTCTTTTTTCCCCCCTATTTTCAGTTTTGAGCTAGTGGTCTTTTATCTGAAAGATATGAATCCTATTTGAAATAAAACAGATTCTCACCTATACCTGTGGTGTATTTACCTTCTAGAACTATATTTTTTATATTGCATCAGTTTTCCTAAGCAGTCACATCTCAAACTTAAATAAAATAGATCACCAGTAGAAAAACTTTCTAAAAGAAGAAATTTTTAAGAGATTTTTGAAAATAGCAAAATGGAAGACACGGAATTGACAGCAGATGCAGAGGACAACATGGAAGGAAGTACAGCATGAAAGAAGACTAGAGGAAGATATTTGGAACAAATCTGAGTTCAGAAAATGGAATTGAATTAAAATATGAGTTGATAAAGATCTTTGAATTTCTGGACTGTATAAAAAAATCTGTGTTGAGCAATAAAATTTGGAAAAAAAACAAAAACGTTGAAAAAACTATTGTGTTAAGCTTTAAAAATGTGTATTTAAAATGAATGTTCTTTAATAGTTTAAAAAGGTACTTTTCTAGACTATTTAAAGTAAAGTAATGTGAATATAGTAGACATATATTTTGGATCTCTCATTGTAATCCAGTCTAGGAAGGGAAAGATAAAATACCCAATTTAACAAAAGGAGTGGGTAATGGTTAAGAATTTTAGAACCCTTAAAAATGACAATTAGTTTATTGTGCTCTAGTAAATATCTGTTTAAGTTAAGATGCTTATTGCATATTTCAGATATCTTTGATATATTCCAGTTTCAAAAACAATGGTATTATCAAATCAATGTTATCGTAGATCATCCCCTCTCAAATTTTTACTAGAAGGAAACAGTGATGTACTAGGAAAGTCAAATACTATATGTCATGTCTTATATTATTCTTTTTGCAGATTTTACTTCATGTATTTGGCAAATTCATTCTGCAAAACTTAGTTGAACACGCACCTACTCTTGCAGATAATGTCCTAGGCAACAACACAGCAGTGAACAAAAAGACAAAATTGCCCGTGCATATCCGACTACAGTTGATGATGTCTTCCAGCTTCAACGTTTTTAGAGTTGGCATCTCCTTTGTTGTGATATGCATATTCTATAAGTCAGCAGTAGACTCTCTACCAGAACTGAGTCCTCAGAAATATTTCAGTACGTTGCAAGCAGGGAAAGCCTCCTTAGCTTATTTCTGTCAAGTCAGTAAGTATTTTTTATATTCTAAAAATGATTTTATGATGTTTCTGTTGCTATTTCATCAATATGTTCACTGGGAACTTATTGTCAGGATTAATAATATCCCATAAAATTGCTACTATAGTAAGCCTATCTGTGTTTGAATCTTAACTGCCACTTGACCTGATGTGTGACCTTGGTCAAGTCACTCGGCCTTGCTGTATGCCTTTTTTATCATCTATAGTGAGAAATAGTACTCATGATTTATAAGTTTATTGTGCTGATTAAATGATTTTACTTGTGTGCCTAACCCATAGTAAATGCTATTTAAGAATCAGCTGTTCATATGTTGGTATTCATGTGACTTTCATTTAATCTTTTCTGAAAGTATACTTTTTGACCTTTTTAATGTGAAAATATTTTAAAGGTATTTTTAAACTTTGTAATGTAGTATTAATAATGCTATAGTTTAATATCCTGTTTTAGTTGTAGCATTAATTATACTGAATTACCTAGTGTAACTGTTAAGCATAATTAATAATTACAATGGTATCATTTAAGTCTTTATGCCTTGAAAATGCTGTTCTTGAAATTAGTGATGAAGTGAAGGCACTTTTCTATTGACTTCCCACACTGTTTTAAAATCATTTTGAAAGTTTTGTGTATGTGTACATGTATGTTGTGTATATGGACTCGAACTTGGAAAAATATTGCCAAATGTTATATTTAAATTAAGCATTTACTCTGTTCTTGTTTTAGAAAGTTTTTAAGGTCACTTACCAACTCTATCATGATAAAAACATTAGAAATAATTCAATAGGAAATAAGGGCATAAAATAATATAACTATATTTATTCAGTTATTTGATTATTTGTTATTGCATACTAGTTTTAAGTTTGCAGCTTTGGACTTTAATTTTAAAAATTTATCTTTCCTTCCTAAGGGGCATGTCGTAAAACATTCATAAAACATTTCTTATTTTAGATTCTCCAAGTACCTCTATTTTTCTGGAAGAACTGAATAAGGCTGTTAAACCTCTCCAGGACTATGGAATTTCAGTTGCAAAGGTAGAAAAATATTTTAATAAATTTTTAGTGGCAAACATTTTACAGCTGTATAGCTTAATACTAAGTATCTAAAAATGCCTATGTTGTTTCATGTCTTTTTCCAAACTGGAAAAATGCTTTTTCTAACATTTTTGATAAGGGTAGACAAAAGCACTGAAATACAGTTCCAGATTATTAAATAAATTTGTACATATAGAGAAAAAAAGCTGTTTAAACTTCTTTAGTTAAGAATTTAATTTTATTTTATACACTGTTCTATTGGCGCTGTGATGTCATTTTTTCAAACCTAGAGTTAGGCTTTTGTTTTCCATAGCTTGGCAGGTATATCATAATCAATATCCATAACCGAGCTATTTATTAAATTTCTATTAGCACAAATTGAGGTCATTGAAGTATTTTTTTCTTTCCTATTTTCCTAAGTTTTTATAATTGTTTATTTCAGTTTTTCACATTTATTTCTAGAACAAAGTTAAAACAGCCTAACTTGAAATTACATATTTAATTTTTTTTCAAAAAAGTTCAAACTGAGTATTAGGGAAAATTTTCACATGAATCATGGATTACATAGCTGCACAGACCTTTGATGTAGTTTAAAGTTAAAATTTGTATATCAGAAATCTGAATGATTAGTAACTCAGCAGTTATTAAATTCTTTCATACTAGTGTTTGCCTGACTTTCTGTGTACATTTATTTATTTATTTTTTTAAAGATTTATTAATTTTATACAAGAGCTGGGGTACAGGCCAGAGGTGCGGAAGGGTGAGAGGGTTCACCAGAGACAGAGTGGAGAGCAGAACAGGCAGACTACTGAAATACATTGCTGAGGGGAGCAGTGGGCCCGACAGGAGAGGTCTGCCGCTCAATGTGGGAATCTCCCTGGCCGGCCCGGAATTGAACCTGCGCTGCAGAGGCTGTAGACAGCTTCACAGCGCTGTGCTCAACCCGCTGTGCCACCGGGGAGGCCCATGTGTGTACATTTATTCTTAGTCTGTTCCTTCATGAGATGGCTTCTGCTCCATTGGTCTTTGCAGCTAGAGTTGCTGGTACAGGAAGCATATAAAAGCTAGCTAACCTTGGCTATTATAGGGAAGCCATTCTCTCTACCCACTAACACTTCTGATAGAAAACGTGTGAATTTTCCATACCAGGCAATTCTGACAACTAGCTGCCCAGAGTTAGCACAGGGCCCATGGGTTCAGTGCTCAGTTCTGTCAGACTGCCCATCATTTCAGATGCCAGTCACAAGTAGTAGGTCTCCAGGTTACCAACTTCTGTAGGACTTGGTTGGGGGTTTTCACAGCCTAATCCTCAGGTTTGATCATTTGCTTTAACATAATAGCTCACAGAACTTAGGGAAAAAATATTAGTTACTATTACTGTTTCTAATAAAGTATATCACTCAGGAATAGCTAAATGGAGGAGAAGCAAAGGCAAGGTCTGGGAGACTCTCAAGTATAGGAGATTCTGCCCTCATGTATTAATAGTTTGGGGTGTGCCCCCTCCCAGTATTTGATGTGTCTGTCAACCCAGAAACCTTCCATACCCTGTTGTTTAGAGTTTTATGGAAGTATTACTTAACTTTGAACAACTGGCTATATTCTGGAATGATAATGCACTCATCTCTGGGGAGGCTTTGAATAAGATTTTAAACTGAAATTCAGAAATGAAATACTAGGTTGATTTGACAGTTAATGCAATAATCATGCTATTTAATAACTAGTAACTAGTAATTGTGTATCTAATAACTGGAATAGCATATTAAGGTTCCTGCTCAGGGTTGTCTTTTTAAACTAAGATAACTTAAATTCTCGATTTTACAGATGAGGACACTAAGTTATGTGGAAAGGAGACTGGTGAATGTGACAGATCTATATTTAGTATCTACCTCAGTTTCTGGCACATAATAAATACTCAGTAAATGTTTATGAAATTCAAATGAATTACTATATTTAGACTTCTTTGGGATAGAAAGATGCCTAAGACCTATAAAAAGATGCCTGTTTCTTTGGAGAGTTTATATTCTAAATAAGGGCCATGAAACAGATTCACAAATAATTTGATAACTAGCAGAACCTGATCTTAATATTAAGAGAGATACAAATAAATTGCCATAGAGGTTAAAAGAAAGAAAGTTCCTATCTGATTGTTGGGGTGGAAAGTCATGTGTGATACTGGGAAAGACTTCACAAAAAGTGGCATTTTGAGATATTTTCAAAAGTGAAAAATAACCAGGGGGCAGAGGTAGATGAAGAAAGCATTACAATATAAATGGATTAAATGTTCTAATTAAGATAAAGATTGTCAAACAGGGCACAGTAATCAAACCCAACTGTATGCTATTTAGAAATGCATCTTAAAGGTTTCAGAACTTGGGCCTTCCTGGTGGCGAAGGAGTTAAGTCTCAGTGCTATCAAACTATTGCCAGCCACTGCTGTATGAGTTCGATCCTTTGGCACAACAGACCTCCCCTGTCTCACCCACTGCTCCCCTCAGCAGTGTATTTCAGTACATCTGCCTCTTCTGCTCCCCACTCTGTCTCTGGTGAATCCTCTCACCCCCTGTACCTCTGGCATACCCCAGTTCTTGTGTGCATAAATAAGTAAAAATAAATCTTTTTTTTTTTAGTAAAAATAAATCTTTAAAAAAATCTTAAAATAAATCTTTATTCAGGGTGAATAAAGAAAAAGGATAGGTCATGAAAATAATTACCAAAAGAAAGTGGATTTAGCCATGTTTTTATATCTACAAAGTAGATTTTAAAACAAAGACTTGTGTGTCATCCCAAACTTTTCTATGAAAACTAATCCATTAATAACTCCCTTAGGTTCAACTGTCAAAACTTTAAATCTCACTTTTTCCTGTACTTTCACTTTTACTCCTTCTGTCCAAACTACCACTTCTTATCTAGGAATCCACAATAGCCTTCGAGTGATTTTCCTTTTTTCTCTATTATCCCTCTAAACTTTTCTACACATAAAGTCAGATGTGTCAGATTACAGTGCTTCCATGACAATTAGGATAAAATAGAAGCTCCTCACTCTGACAGACTCTGCCCTTCCACCTTGTTAATTTATTCCCGATGTATACTGTATACCTTTCTGCCCCTTTAACCTGCATGATGTATTATTTCCAAAAAACCTTTGCAGGTGTTTTCCCCTCTGCTTAATTCATCGCTTCAACATACTGACATATTTGTATACATCACTTCATTACTTCAATTCTTTGTGCAAAAATGTCACCTCCTTAGAGAAGCCCTCTTTGATTACTTATCTAAAATATCCTGTTACATATTTTCCCCTTTTTTTCTTTATGGCACATAACTTCACACCGTATATTAATTAACATTTTAAATTGTCTTATTAACTTTTGAAATTTTCTCTACTATTGTAAGTTCTAAAGATGAAGTTGCTTATTTGTATCAGAGTAATTTACTGGGTGACTAGAACAGTAGCTCACATAAGGTAGATGTTCAAATATATGTTGAATGGGTGAATGGACAAATCTATTGTCATAATGTCAATCATCTCTTATGCTTTGACTTTTTAAAAAGTACACATACTAAAATTTATTTTTTGGTTATGGCACTCTACACTGACTTTCAATTCTGACTTTCTATTCTTGATATATTTTCTGAGTATCAGTTCTCCTTTTGTAGCTTTTCATAAACAAATGTCACTTCCCAGTTATCATTCTGCTTCCTCAAACTTTGTTAGACTTAAATTGAACAATAACAAAAAATTCAGCTTGAGAATCATAAAATCCAAAGCAAAACAGCTGTTCTTCCAGCCTTGGTTTTGGTGAGAAGTAGGTGTGTACCCACTTGCCCCATCTAGAAACCTCTTCATTTCTTTGTATCTATCCTGATCCCCACTATCCCATTCTGCATGCACATACTCAGTCTTTTCCCTGGCCTTGCTTACTGTATTTTTGAAAAGTCTTCAATCTCTTCTGTCCAGTCATCCTGGACTGATACTCATGTGATATTATTTTAACTTGCCCTCTTGTTTTGTGCTCTCTTGCCTTCCTTTTATCTTTATGTTGCTGCCAAGATTGTCCTTGTATTTTTCACATAGAGTTCAGATAATAAGCTGTCAAAGGCTGTTAAGGCTGCTCTACCTTCAGCTGGGAACCATTCTTTGCATTATCCTTAGCAAAGGTTTCTTTTGGAAACCTGTTTTATGGTCCTGATTGCTGCTGGTGCTCTAGCTATCTTGTCTGGTTTTTGTCAGGCAGGAATGGGAAGAGTAAGGGTATCAGTTAATCTTTTAAGAGTCTCCTGAAATTCCAACTCAGTGACATCTAACATCCTCTGTCATCCCTTAGCTGTTGGGGAGTTTGGAAAAATCTTATGGGGCACTTGCCTTTAGTGAGATTCTGTTAGTAAAACAACAGTGGATGATGGATTTGGGGGAAGAAACCACCAGTGTCTGCCATGCCTCTGATCGAGGTGCTGAGATGCTTTCATGGTCCACTCACGTCTGTGCTTCCTGACTTTTTCTTATGACTTTTTGTCCTGCCATTGTTGTTTCCTTCCTTTTCTACCTGGTTACCTTTCTATTAATTAAATATAATTCTTAGGTGTTCAAACAGTACCCTCCTCTAGGTTACCACAAGCTCTTGAATAAGATAGCCATTATGCTAGTATATAAGTCAGAAAGAAAAGTAAAATAAAAAAAAAAATTGAATTGCAACAAGCTAGAATGTTTAGTTTCCCTTCTTGTTTCCCTAATCAAGAAAACTGACCTTTTGATATATACCCTAAACTTTGAATATAATCTTTTGAAGGTTAATTGTGTTGGAGAAGAAACATCAAGATACTGTGGAAAAGAAAGTGATTTGATGAAAGCCTATTTATTCAGGTAAACTATTTTTTTGAGAATGAGTGACAAACATAAAGCCATACTTCTAGAACATTCAAATACTATAAAATATCATTAAGCCATAATAAAGTTGTGTTCAGTGGGAATCATATGAAACTTACCAAAAAGTCCAAGTAATTGATTTTTACTAGCACTTGAGTTTCCTTATCTAGAGAGTGAGGAGAGTAATACTTGTCTCACAGCATAGTTTTGACTATTATAGGACTATTTGACTATTACATGATTATCTAATGTAAACGCCTGTTAAAAATGCCTGCTAAGTAAGTTGCAAATTTTGTCTTCTAAGTAGATCTATTAGGTTCATGTTCAGGTGTGACATAAATGCACTGTATTTTTGAGGGTCTGCCAATATTCAGATTAAGATTCCCCCCGCACTTGAGTTTGCTACTCTATCTGAGGCTTCTCAAAATCCTTTCCTCAAAATGTTGGGATTTGGCTAAGAAGTGGGGAGAGATCCTGCCCCTCCAGGACCTCTGCTGAGGACACCACTGATTTCTCTTCCCTGTTTGTCTTCTTCCCAGCCCATTTAGGGAATCTGTGTATGTGACAGGGGGATTGGCAGAAAGCCTTGTTTGGACTCAGGTTTTTTTCCCCAGTCTTTTTGCCAGGTCCAGGGCCTAGAATTTTCAAGGTCACCATATTTATTGAGTTTTTTTAAATAAATATTTGAGTGTATTGTGGCCAGTACTCTGTTAGGAGCATGAGATAATGGATAAAACACAAGCTGTAGCATAAAGAATTTATTAAGGCCAAGTAAAGTGAATTCCGAGGAAATATTTTCATAATGCTTTTCTGAACTTTTTATAGGGGCACCATATTACTCAGAGAATTCCCTACTGATACTTTGTTTGATGTGAATGCCATCGTTGCTCATGTTCTCTTGTAAGTACAGGGGCTACCCATTGGTTCTTTGTTATCTACTGACTTCCTTGTAGACAACCACAATCCATTACAATATTTTAGGGCTTAAACATTATATTTATAGGTATCAATTTTAGTGAAATTGCTGCTCCTAGCTTCCTACAGAGAGGATATAAATGTTCTTAAATGACAAAGGATACAGAAACATGTGGACATGTTGTATGAAAGTAGGAGGACACAGCATAGCCACGTGGGTCTACTACTGCTTTTGCTTTTGATTCCACCTATGGAGTGAGGATTTTACCAGGTAAGAAGCTCATCTTCGCTATTCTCACTGGGACTTTTAATGTATCTGGCATCCTTCTTTACCCAGCCTATTTGTTTTCTGGAGTCTGTAGGTCTGTGATGGCTCAGGAAATGCAAAAATGATGCAAATAGTCACAGTACATACTTGAGTGTTGAGGGAGAGAGTTTAATTTCCCTGGCATATAATCTTTGGGCCTGGGATTCAGACCTGTTTTCCTTAGTCTACCCCTGTACACCACTATAATCTACCCCTGAATGTAGTCTAGTATTCTCTTTGGTGACAAAGTTAGAAACTAGAACTTGTTAAAGACATTAGTTGATGTGAATTTTTCCAATTTAATGTTGTTGTAGGTTTGTTGCCCACTAAGATCCTGGCTGATATTGACTTGCTTTGTTTTCTACTTAGCTCCTCTTTTCTTCCCCTCCTACCTGATTTGCACAAAAATTGGGTGAGAATTAAATTAGAAGAAACTCAAAATTTACAGGTAGAAAGTTGTGGTTATCACTTTGCAAATGACACTTTCAGATGTCCCAGTACAAATCATATTAACAAAAGGTCTTTAGAAATCCCTGACAACCATGCCCTGTAGACATAAGAATGAAACTTAGCCTTTTATTTATTTATTTTTTTAATATTAATTGTTTACATTTTTTTAAAAAAAGATTTATTTATTTATACAAGCACTGGGTACAGTCAGAAGTGTGGGAAGGTGAGAGAATTCACCAGGGCCGGAGCAGGGAGCAGAGCAGGCAGAAGGACCAAAGTACACTGCTGAGGGGAGCAGTGGCGGCAGGAGAGGTCTACACGCCATGCAGGAGAGGTCTACGCGCCATGTGGGACAGTCCTCCGGTGGCCTGGGAGCAGCCGGGGATCGAACCGGCTCTGCAGAGGCTTCGGGCAGCTTCGCAACCCAGCGCTCAACCACTGCGCCACCGGGGAGGCCCAAGATGGCCTTTTAAAGAAAGAGTTCTGAAGTGCTATGGTGCTGCCTTGGAAATCCTTTCCTGGGATAGAAAAGGGGTGACTATCTTGAGGGTGCGGTCATAAAACTCTTTGGAAGAAGTTCAAGTAATAGGTATGATATTTGTTTTCAGGAAGCTTACTAGTTTCTGCTGTTTTTACAATTCCTATCTGCTAAATGTTTTTATCTTAGAAATAAGGGTGAAGAAACAGAGAAAGGCAATTCTCTGAGGGATGGACAGGGTTGTTTTTGGCAAGTTTGATACAAATCCTGGAGCAGCAGGTCCCTGCTGGACAACCTGATGACAAGTAGTTTTGAAACAAATGGACCTTAGATACAGAGGAGCCGTCAATGCTGGGGCCCTCTTCTCTGACTGGTTAACTTGTGGGCTTGTGTCATCCAGTCCTTCTGTGGGGGTATCTGTTCTTAGTGCTGTACTTACACTGATTTATAGAAAACTAATTCTACAAATGGATTGTCCCCCATATTCCTGCTATATGCAAGATACTTATTAGGCATAGGGGATACAAAACAATAGGATGTAGCTTAATGTTTTCTAAGAATGTAGTGTTTTGTTGCAGAGATAAATATATAAACGAAATATTATTTAGTAAATAAAATAGTAGAAGTATGTATGCATGGGGGCTTATGGATCCTCATGGAAGGGAATGTTTCTTTGTGTCTGGAATGAGGACAGATTTTTATTAAGGAGTCTTCCTAAAGGAAGTGGCATTTGAGATGCATCTTAAAGGTTAATGGGATTTTGGTGAAGAATGGGAAGGTTGGAAGACCAATAGTAACTGTGTGAGCAAAGGCATGGAGGTTAGAATAGTTTGTAGAGGGCAGTTTTTGCTCCACAGAGAGGGAGAGTGAAATGTGAAACAGGAGGTGAAAGCAGAGAAGCAGGCATGAGTCCGATGAATGGGATCTTTGCCTTGTGAAGAAGTTTGGGTTTTTAAATAGCCACTTGAGGGTGAGGAACCCAGCTCCAGATCTAAGAACTTATGTGATGTTTCTTTTAGGCCTGACCCTAGACCATCACAAAGCTTTGCCTGGCAGATCTCATGGGGTGAAGGTATAACTTGGTGCATAGCCAGTCCTTGAAGTTGTATAGAGAAAGTAAAGTTTCTTCTCCCTCCCAATCTCTATGCTCATAGGTACACCTGCAATTCTAGTCTAGTCACCTATGTTTGGAGACCTTCCTACCAGTCTTGTACATGTTACAATTGATGAATCAATGTCAACACATTATTAACTGATGTGTACAGTTTATGGTTTGTTCTTCGATTATGCAGTTTCAAGTTTTGACACATATATAATGATATGTAGCCACCATTATAATATCACATAGAATAGTTTCAAAGACCTAAAAAAATCCTCTGTTCTTCTTCCAATCATCCTTCCACTCCCCAGTCACCAATCTTTTTACTGCCTGTATAGTTTTCCGTTTCCCAGAGTGTCATATAGGTGGAATCATATAACATCTAGCTTTTTCAGATTAGCTTCTTTTATGTAGCAGTATTTAAGGTGCCTTCATATCTTTTTTTTAAAGATTTATTTATTTAAAAATGCAAGAGTTGGGGTACAGGCCAGAGGTGTGGGAGGATGAGAGGATTCACGAGACACAGAGCGGGGAACAGGCAGATCAACCAAAGTACACTGCTGAGGGGAGCAGCAGGCAAGTCAGGAGAGGCCTGCTGTGCCATGTGGGTTGCTCCCTGGCTGGCCGGGGATTGAACTCCTGCTGGAAATGCTGTAGACAGCTTCACAGTGCTATACTCAACCCCTTGCCCACCAGGGAGACTCTCTTCATGTCTTTTCATAGTTAATTTCTTTTTAATATCTTTCATAGTTAATTACTAATATTCCGTTGTATGGATGTACAACTGTTTTTTCATTCATGTACTGAAAAATATCTTGTTTGCTTCCAAGGCTTGGCGTTGCAAATAAAAAATGCTAAAAATGTTCATGCTAGGTTTTTTGTATCGATGTTGCTTTTAACTAATTTGGGTAAAAACTTAGGGGTATGAATTCTATATTATATGATAAACTATAGCTTTGTAATGCTGCCAAACTGTTTTCCAAAGTGGTTATACCATTTTGCATTCCCACTACAATGAATGAGTCCCTGTTGCTTCACAGCCTCACCAACACTTAGTATTATCATTTTAACAAATAAAGCCATTTTTACCCCAAAGAATTCAAAAATACTAGTTCAAAAGAAAAACTGTATTTCCATGTTAATTGCAGCAGTATTTATAACAGCCAAGATACGGAAGCAACCTAAGAGCCCCCAAAACAGAGGAATGGATCAAGAAGATGTGGCATATACACACACGCACGCACACACACACAGAGGAATATTACTGAGCAATCAGAAAAGATAAACTCACACCATTTGCAGCAACATGGAAGGATTATACTATGTGAAATAAGTCAGGAGGAGAAAGACAAATATCAGATCAATGTCACTTATATGTAGAATATAGAGAAACCATGCAAAGGTTCAGAGAAAGATAAGCTTCAAAATTAACCTCTGAAAGCTGACTGTAGAACTGAAGCATTCAGCATCCTCTTCTTTGAGCTAGAAGGATTTAGCATGGCCTTGTGTTATGGATCCTATATTCTAGATCCTCATTCTAGAAATTAACATTAAAAAATATGTGTTAAAGTTAAGAAGCCACTGGGAAAAATAAGAGACATTAGATTATAAATGCCATTACTTTTGGTTATTATTACCTCATAATGACTACTTAATGAGCTTTGGGACATTAAGCAAGGTAACCTCTCTAAGTCCCATGACCTTATCTATAAAATGGAGTTAATGATAGTACTGACTCAGGTGATTGACATGAAAATTAAACAAGACAGTTCATTGCTGAGCCTTCTTAGTTATAATCCTCAAAATCTAGGTCTGACTGGCTTGAGCTGAAAGGATTTGGAGTGTAAAATCTCAAGCTACCTTAAAGGGCTGGAGAACAGGCTGAGTTTATGTAGTTCTGAGTTACCATGAAAAATCACAACAGAATTAGTCTGGTAAGGACTGCTGCATTACTGCTGAGCATTGGATGCCACAGCTTGTATCCCGTGTACTGGATCTGTCATCAGCACTGTTGTCACTGTGACCTTTGATGCTGACTTTTGCTGTTATTGCTTCTTGAAGTAATTCTGCACTGTCCCTGATTCTTCACATCACTAGCGCTTGGTCCAGAATGTCAGGCAAATGATTCTGGGTCACATAGCCATGCCTTGCAGCAGGGAGCCTAGAAAAGCAAGTTTATAATATCATTAACTTTTATGAGGACATTTGGGCTCTGACCACCATGAAAACTTAGAAAATTGTGAATTTCCAAAGCAAAAGAGAGGAATTAAGAGCAGGGCAGTCCCCAAACTAATAAATTGCTACTAATTATAAAGTGCATAGGATTACCTGACAAGTGGTAACTGCCCCCCAAATGTTATCTTTTATTAATTTATATTTGCCATCCTTATTAAGAAAAAAGGCTGGTGAGATGTCTATTCTCTGATTTGATTTTGAAGCAAATAGAACTACTAGAGCAACAAAGGTAAATGGGTGGATATAATTTTCAAGCTTCGAATTTACATGGCCGTCTAGTTAGTTGGTGCTTCCCAATGGTTTTGCAGTAACTCACTGCTCATTCTGGACTTGTTTGCTAAAGTACGTCAGCTGCCAGTACCCAGATTGCCACTGAGACTCCCTTGTCATCCTTTAGTTCCTTCTCTTAGACCTTGTTTCCTACTTATGTGTTATTTAGAAAATGCCCATCTTAGTGTTAGAAAACCTGGATTTAAATCTCTGGTCTACCAGTAACTGCCAGTATAATCTGGAGCAGGTTATTTAGTCCCTCAGGCTGTGTTCTCTCTCTCTCTCTCTCTCTCTCTCTCTCTCTCTCTCTCTCTCTGTGTGTGTATGTGTGTGTGTGTGTTTGCATGCACACACATGCAGGTTGAAAAATATATATTTTTAAAGATTTATTTATTTATATAAGAACCAGGGTACAGGCCAGATGCACAGGAGGGTGAGAGGATTTACCAGAGACACAGTGGGGAACAGAACAGGCAGACTGATGAATACATTGCTGAGGGGAGCAGTGGGTGAGACAGGAGAGGTCTGCCGTGCCATGTCAGACCCTTGATGGCCAGCTGGAATCGAACCGGCACTGCAGAGACTGCAGAGAGCTTCACAATGCTGTGTTCAACCACCTGCACCACCAGGGGAGACCCAGCTTGAAAAATGTTCTAAGAAAATCATTAGGGATTTAAATGAAAACATACCAAAAAGTCTAGTATGTAGCATGTACTGCTCAATGAATATTTCTTTTAAAAGCAGAACAAGAGGCCTGGGGGTTAAGTTTTACATTTATTTTAAAAGCTTGAAGAAATCTATAATAAATAGGTAAATATTAAGGCCAAAATAATTTAGGTTAGCCATTTAAAGGTTACACAAAGTCATAATGTTTTTGTATTAACAATGTGCCTTTGTCATTGTCATTCTCTCAAGAGTACATTTCCAGAGGCTCTGTGGCATGTTGCATGATGTCACAACATATTGAGTGCAGAAACAGCTATGAGAATCTAGCTGTTTTCCACTAGTGCAGTATTAAAGAGCTTTGCAAACATGTGAAATATTGCCACTCTTCTCACTACATGTTTTCTTTTATTTCTTTTACTCAGTATGCCACAACATACTGAGTGCAGAAACAGCTATGAGAATCTAGCTGTCTTCCACTAGTCCAGTATTAAAGAGCTTTGCAAACATGTGGAATATTGCCACTCTTCTCACTACATGTTTTCTTTTATTTTGGAAAAATTCAATTATAGTTTTTAATAAAGTATTCCTCATGTTTAATGCAATAGTGTTTATTATTATTTTTAAAAGAATTTAAGAAATATCTTAAAATTCCTGTTTTAATTTATATATTGGCAATTATTGATAGATGTAACCTACATAAACAAAATCTCTTTGAGGCAGTGAATAATTTTTAAGGTCATAAATAAATCTTGAGACCAAAAAGTTTGGTAACTATTATGTTATTGGAATGTGCCATGTTTCCCATGAGAGGAAACTATGTTCAGCTAATTCATTGTGGAGATTGAACCTTTTCTTGCTGATGTATATGGAACTGGAACAAACTTCAAAAATACTTTAGTTTTAACCTAACTTTAAAAATATACACATAACACAGACACAGGTTAAATAGAATGAGTTGTTAGGATTAGAGAATTTATACAGAAGTAGAAGTTTTAAAACAGAAATTCTTTAAGTTGAAGAAATATGATCAATTAGTCTGATTTACATGTTGAAAAGATGATTTGGAAGAAGAAGGTCAAGTAGGAAGATCACTGAACTAAGAGTGAGGCTTGTTTTGTATTCTGTTCCTGACTTCTTAATTCAGTAAGTTTATTGTTTGAGTAAATTCTTTAGTGTTTCATACTCGTATCTTTTCTTCAACTCTCATTGCTTCAACAGATATTTATTGATTCATTACAATTAGCTATTCTAAGTTACTATGAATATAGTGATAAAATATGCAAGGTCCCTTTCTCAAGAAGCTGTCAGTTTAGTGAGAGAAGTAGGGATAAACAAGTACATATATATTATCTATAAATAATTATAAATTGTGATAAGCACTATGAAGGAATCAAATAGTGTGAAATGAAAGAGGAAAATGCTGTAGACCTATTTACTTAGGATGGGTAGTGAAGACTTCTCTGAGACAATGATGTTTAAACTCAGGCCAGCTGTCTGAGAAGCGGCAGAAGGAACAGCTTTCAGCCAAGAGAAGTGTAAGTGCAAAGGCTCTGAGGTGTGCTTGGTAGATGCGTGGAATGGTAGAACAAAATGAGGTTGGAGAAATAGGCAAGTTCTAGGTCATGCGAGTCTTATAGGTCATGGAAACAAGCCTGTGGTTTAAATGTTGGCTCAGATTTGCTGAGAGATCTGTAAGGGATTATTTAGACAGACTAGGATGTTAGCAAATTCAAGCTATATATTGAGGTGGTTGTGGTTGAAAAATAGCACCTTATCTTACAACTGTTCCTGATTATGTTCTAAGATGCAGACTAATAATATAGAGAGTGATTTTAATTCAGTGCTAAAATGCTTAATTTCTTACTACTAAATAATTTGTTCAAAAGAATTAAATTTCTTTCTTGACTAGGATGTTTAACTTACTCAACAAATATGTATTAATATGTATTGAAAACTAAGTACATGTCAGATATTTAATCACATTTCTATTTATTCTAGTGCTCTTCTTTTTAATGAAATGAAATACATCGCCACCGTGGACGATCTTCAGAAAATAGAAAATGCTCTGAAAGGAAAAGCAAACATTGCATTTTCATATGTAAAAGCCATTGGAACACCAGGTACTTATTAACTTTTATTTTTTATAATCTTTGCTGTGCCTCCTTACTTGGGTATGTTGAAAGACTTAAAATGATATATTTTGAGCACAATCTTCATACTTTAAAATAAATTTAAAACCTTTAATATTATGTTTCCTTTCTTTGAAAAGGCGGCATAATAGAGTGACTAAACAAGAACTTGGAGTAGGCTGCCTGTACTAGACTTCTTGCCTGTTACAGTTATTTTCTGTAAGTTACTTAAAGTGTGATCTTGTACAACATTCAGTTTCCTAGTTACCAGAATAGTGAAAATAATTTGCCTACCTCTTAGTGTTATTGTGAGGACCAAAGGAACTAAAATAATTAAAAAGGTTTTCGGTACTTAGTAAGTGAAATTACAACTGGAGACTGAATATAGAGACTCATTTGAGAAATTTTATTGTTAAGGGAAAGAGAAAAATGGAGCAGTAACTGGAAGAGTATGTGAGGTCAGCTATAAAAATTTTTAAAAGCATATTTGTATGCTGGTGACAAAGACCTGTAGACAGGGGAAAATGCATCATGTACGAAAAAGGAGGGAGAATAACTGGAGCAGTTACCCTGTTTTGAATAGACAAGAAGGAATGAAATCTAGTCAGCAAAAGGAGGGGTAGTTCTTGGCTGGGAGCACAGAAAATTCATCTTTAGTAATAGGAAAGAGAATATCAGTATTGATTTAGGTATGTAGATAAATACAGTCCTGGGTGCTTATGGAAGTTATTTTGGTTTTGTTTTTTTAATTGGTTCTGTTTTCTCAATGAAATAGAAATAAAGTCATCAGATAGTTTGAAGAGAGAAGAGATGAAATTGTTGTTTAGCAGGCCTGCCAATAAAGAACGGTTGCTAGGCAGCAGTAATTGTTGATGTTAGTCATCTAAGGTGAGACCATTAGCATGGTGATGCTGGAAGGGTTTTTGTTTTGTTTGTCCTACAGCCATGTTTGCTTTTGTGGGTGTAAGTGCAGAATAGCATAGCACTTGATTTAGCCTGGATTGTGTTTTAGCCAAACAAGCAGGAGAGTGATTACAAAGATTGATCATGGAATTTAAGTTGTGTTAAGTAAGAGGGGAAGAGAGAATCTGAGGGGCATGAAGGACAGTGAAAAGTGGTAGGATTTTAAGTCCTCGAAGGTTAAAATTACATACCAAATAGAGTGACCTGGGGATTGATGGATGTATATGTGATGGTGAGTCTGGGGGGTGGTTTGGTGATTAGTAATTATGAGACCTGTAGTGGAGACCATAGCAGTGAATGGTTGTGGGGTTGAAGAGAGATCCCTGGAATCGCTGAAAAAAACCAAGTCCTGATAGGCTAAGTTTATGAAAAGACCATCTATGAGGATAATTAACTCAAAAAAGATTAAGACAGAAGTAGTACTGGAGAGAATGATAGATTTTTCATGGAATGAAAGAGAATACCCTGGCTGGGTGGTGGATGACTCCAATGAGGCCAGGTGATTATGAAGATGATATGTGATTCAGGTGGTAAAAGATTAAGGGTGCGGGGGAGGGGGGGAGATGATAACTGCCTGGAAATATCAGTGAGGTGAAAAGGGAGAATAAATTATGGAAAAGGGGAAAATTTTCCAAGAAACACTTAAAGAAAATTTCCTAGAACTGAAGCATTTGAGCTCCACATTGAAAGAGATCACTGAGTCCCAAGATAGTGAGTGTGTATAGTATAGCACATCAAAGCATCTCTTTTTGAAAGCTCAGAATATCTGGTAAAATACCATTCTAAAATTTTTCAGAAAGCAAAAAAGAGATCTCAGTTAAAGGATCAGAATCAGAATGGCATTGGACTTAATCGATTGTAGCCCTGGAAAGTGAAGAAAATGGAACAGTGCTTTCAAATTTCTCAGGGGAAATGACTTGACCTTAGAATTCTATATCCGGAAAACTGCAGTTAGTCATGAGGTAGAATAAAGACACTTCCAGAAATACACAGTCACAAAAAAATGTGTATTCTATATATGTTAGAGGTAGGGACAAAATCAGTTAAGAAGTGGGTAATAGATTAAAGATCTAATACAAGAGGGAATAAGGATTCCCTAGGTTGATGAAGTGAATTCCCAGAATTACAGTTGTTTAGCAGATTAAGTAGTGATAATCCATATTGGAGCAAATCTGAAGGAATTGCAGAAATGTCACGGGAGGGTGAGAGAATTCACCAGAGTCAGAGCGGAGAGCAGAGCAGGTAGAGACTGACGAAATACACTGCTGAGGGGAGCAGCGGGCGGCAGGAGAGGTCTGCGTGCCATGTGGGACCCTCACCTGGTGGCCGGGAATCGAACCGGTGCTGCAGAGGCTGCAGGCAGCTTCGCAGCCCAGCGCTCAACCGCTGCGCCACCGGGGAGGCCCATTACTTGTTTCTTTATAGATAAAAGTAAGTGATTAAAAAGTAACTAAGTCAGAAATAACTCACAGGCATATACATTTGTAAACTATAACATATGAAAGTTGTATGATGAACTCATTCTCTTTCCTACTGCTAGGAAGAAAATATCATAGATTTGTCATTGTTTTAGTCTCAAGTACAATGCATTTTCTCCTCCCTCTTAATTTTTTTTTTTCTTTTACCTTGACTAGAATAGCGTTTTCATTAACTTATTTAACTGCCTGCATTTTCCCAAATGGAATCCCTACAAAGGATTTTTTTTTAAAGAAAATAGGACATAAAGGGTGTAAAAGAGTATTCAGAATAAAAGTATGTAGAGTCACACAAACTAACTCCTTTCTCCAACTCCCTCTTCTCTTTTTCAGAGCACAGAGCAGTCATGGAAGCTGCTTTTGTATATGGGACCACATACCAATTTGTCTTAACTACAGAAATCACCCTTTTGGAAAGTATTGGGTATGTATAAGAGCATATGTCAAAAAGTGTAAGTTTACTTATTTAACATTTCCATCATACTCTCACATCATGGAATTAGCAGAGGAATTGCAAACAGATGTGAATGTATAAATGAAACCTGAAATCCCCTTCATTACATCATATGCTTACTATAGTCTGAAAAATGAATTGCATTACACAGAAGTGATGTTAGAATAAAGTGAAGAAGAATGATGTGTGTGATAAGCCACAGATGTGAACCCATGAGGAGCCAAGTATACTTTAGGAATAGATCTCTGCTAGTGATCAGGTAGTTGAGAAAATAATAGTTTTTATAACTATGTTCTGTAAGTTACTTTGTCATAATAATCTTAGTATATTTAAGTACAGGTTTTGAACACAATGTGCTAAATGTTAACTTTTGGTGCCTCACAATTTTAGGTAAAAGCTTTCTTTTGACTGTTTTTGGCTGGGACACCCAGGGTTAAAGTTTTTCATTTCCTTTGGTACTTATGGAGACAAGGAATAATCAATGCAGTTTAAAGACTAAGTTTGGCTTCAAAATACTCTTCAGTAAAATTAATCCAAAGTAAGACAAAATGGTGGTTGTATGACCTTTCTTATACCATGCAAGTTTTTTTCTCTCAAATTGTATTAAATTTTCAGTTGTTTACATAGCCGTATAATCTTGGGGGTATATCTTCACATCTCCATATGTACACATGCTTCACTCACCCTCCACCAAAACTCCTATGTTCATGTCATGTCCTATTCCTTTCCTTGCCCTCTTCCCTCCACTCCCCATTGCTCTGGTAACCAGTATATAATTTTTTAATAAAATATTTTTTATTAAACAAATAATAACAGTCCCATTCACAATAATACCATTACAGAAATTATGGAATTAAAGAGACCCTGAATAACCAAAGCTATCCTGAAAAAAAAAAAAAAGAAAAATGGAGGTATTACACTTTCACACTTTATACTATAAAGCCATAATAATTAAAACAGCATGGTACTGGAACAATAATAGACACACAGACCAATGAAATCGATTGAGAACCCAGAAATAAATCCACAAATATATAGCTAGTGTATTTTTCACAGAGACTAGAAATTACTTTTGCTGTGCTTTGCCAGTTTGTTTTCTTTGCTTATTTTTTTATTCCCAAAGAAGTGAAACCCTCCAATCTTTGTCTTTGATTCTCTGACTTATTTCACTTAGCATAATCACCTCAAGATCCATCCATTTTGTTCCAGAAGGTACTAATTAATTCGGTGTGGTATATCTAGCAGTCACTTTTTAAGAGGCCAGTCAAAGGGCTAATTAAAAAAAAAAAATGCACAGAGCATTATTCACAATAGCCAAGATTTGGAAACAATCTCTATGCTCATCAACTGATAATTGGATGAAGTGTTTTAAAGAGTTGAGTGGAATTCCATTGTGTATATATTCCATTTGCGGGCATCAACTACAGAGATGTATTTGGGGATGGCAAGGGAAGCAAAAACAAAAAATAAACAAATGAGTCTACCTCAAAATTTTTTTTTTAAATTGAGGTAACATTGGTCTATAACATTATCGGTTTCAGGTATACAGACTAATATGTCAACATTTGTATATACTACATTATGCTACTCACCAAAAGTCTGTTTTCTATTACTGTACAATTGATCTCTTCCTTCTACCCAATTTACCACCTCATTTCCCCTTCCCTTCTGGTAAACACAGTTTTGTTTTTGTTGTCTAATTGTTTTGTTTGTTCATTTGCTTTGTTTCTATCCCACATGTGAGAGAAATGGTACAGTGTGATGTTTGTCTTTTCTGTCTGACTTATTTCATTTTGCATAATGTACTCTATGTCCATCCTTGCTCTTGCAAATAGCAGGATTTCTTTTTTAAAAATTATAACTAGTATTTCACTGTGTATGTATACCACACTTCATCCAATTATCAGTTGATGACCAAAGAGGTTGTTTCCAACTCTTGGTATTGTGAATAATGCTCTGTGCATTTTTTGTTTTTTAATTAGCTCTTTGACTGGCCTCTTAAAAAGTGACTGTTAGATATACCACACAGAATTAATTAAATCCCAGACATTTCACAACTCTATAAATTTAGAAGTTGGTTCATAAAACACTGATAAAGGGAAATGGGGTGGGGGAGAGTTAGTCAATGGAGAATTAAGTTCCTGCAAAGAGAAGTTACATTTCTATTGCTCAGTGTGACATTGACCAACATTCCTTTTTCCATTGGTAACTTCTCATTGAAGTGCCCTTTGGCTGGTTCCCTCAGTAATGAGTTAACTTAAATTTTGATGCATGTTTGCTGTTTGTATAAGAGTTATATTTTGGAAAATTTGAGAATTATACTTATGGTGCCGTAAGTCATCACTGTGTAGTCTCCAGATACAAAAAGCAATTGTTGAAGCAGCTACTTTGCTACTCCAAGAATAGACTTTTAATATCCCATCCCGGAATGGGGAAGCCCTATTATTCTTTATCTTGTGGTGGCTCTATGCTAGCCCCCACAGTTTCCCTGAGGGTTTGTTGGTTGTGATTTCTCTTAGATTGTCATTTTCTATATTTTTCAGATAATGAATAATTGCAAAGAATGGTGGTATACTTAAAACACAAAGAAATGCTTATTTATTGGCATAGTGTAGATTCTGTTGTTTCCCTTACAATCCCATTCAACAAGATATTCTGTATTCTAGAAGTATTTTTGCTTTTCCCTATTTTTAAAATGAGAATTTAAAATTATAGTTGCCCCATTTTTCATGTACTTTCAAGTATGTGATATATTGGAGGTGTCTGAATGGTCATTTATTCATGGATAACAAGATGTTGAAGAGACAGCCGTATCTGGAGCTGATGTGACAGAGAGAGACTATAATCTCAGAATACTGTTGTCCTTTGACATTACTTCCAGAGGAAGTAGTTGCAATGACTTTGGGTCAGTCATTTCCTAATGTGGGGTGGTGGTGAATGCATTTTTTCTTTCATTTGTTCATTCTTTCACTCAACAAATATTTATGAAATGCCTTCTTTGTGCTAGACACTATTTCTTTTCTTTTTTTCTTTTTTTTTTTTTTTTTTTTTTTTTTTTAAATATTAAATTTTATTTTTATATTCCCCCATACAATTGCAAACGACCCATTCTGACCCCAATCCTTCCCCTCCCGCCCCCCACCCCCAAAAAGTGTCTCTGGTTCATAGTTTTTTGTTGATTTTGATTTTCACTTTCTTATATTCATTTTCCTGGTCCCTTATTTAAGTTTTCTAGATTCCTGCTATGAGTGAGACCATCCGGTATTTTTCTTTTTCTTTTTGGCTTATTTCGCTGAGCATGATCCCTTCCAGCGCCATCCATGTTGCTGCAAATTGCATGTGTTTATCTTTTTTGAATGCTGAGTAATATTCCATGGTATATATGTACCACATCTTCTTGATCCAGTCATCTATTTTTGGGCATTTGGGTTGTTTCCAAAGCTTAGCTATTGTAAACAGTGCTGCTATAAACATAGGAGTGCAGGTGCTCTTTGGAATTGATGTTTCTGTGTCCTTTGGGTAAATACCTAGGAGTGGAATTGCTGGATCATATGGAAGCTCTATGTTTAGTAGGTCCAGAAATCTCCACACAGCTCTCCATAGTGGTTGGACCAGTTTGCACTCCACCAACAGTGCACAAGAGTTCCTTTTTCTCCACATCCTCGCCAACATTTGTTGTTGCTAGTTTTTTTAATATGTGCCATTCTCACTGGTGTGAGATGGTATCTCATGGTAGTTTTGATTTGCATTTCCCTGATTACAAGTGATGTTGAACATTTTTTCATATGTCTGTTGGCCATTTGCATTTCCTCTTCAGAGAAGTTTCTTTTTAGCTCTTCTGCCCATTTTTTGACTGGATTATATTCTTTGTTGTTGCTGAGTCTCATCAGCTCTTTGCAGATTTTTGTGATCAGTCCTTTATCATTAGTGTTGGGTGCAAAATGTTCTCCCAGTTGGTGGGGTTTCTCTTTGTTTTTGTTATTGTCTCTTTTGCTGTGCAGAAGCTCTTTAATTTGATGTAGTCCCAGCTGTTTATCTTTGTCTTCACTATCACTGCTTTGGGTGATGTGTCTGTAAAGATGTCTTTGATGTGCAAATCCCGTAGTGTTTCGCCTATATTTCCTTCTATGTATTTTATGGTTTCAGGTCTTATGTCTAGTTCTTTAATCCATTTTGAGTTGATTTTTGTGTATGTGTGAGGTAGTGGTCAAGCTTCATTCTTTTGCATGTAGCGACCCAGTTTCCCAGCACCATTTATTGAACAAACTTTCTTTGCTCCAATGCATAGTCTTTGCTCCTTTGTCAAAGATTAGTTGACCATAAATCTGTGGGTTTATTTCTGGATTTTCTATTCGATTCCATTGGTCTGTATGTCTGTTCTTGTTCCAATACCATGCAGTTTTGATGATTATGGCTTTGTAGTATAGTTTGAAGTCTGGGAGTGTGATGCCTCCATTTCCGTCTTTTTTTTTCAGTAGAGCTTTGGCTATTCGGGGTTTTGGTGATTCCATATGAATTTCATCAATAATTGTTCTATTTCTTTGAAGAATGCCATTGAGATTTTGATTGGAATAGCATTGAATCTGTATATTGCTTTTGGAAGGATGGCCATTTTAATAATGTTTATTCTTCCAATCCATGAGCAGGGGATGTCTTTCCATTCTTTGTGTCTTCTTCTATTTCTTTTAACAGTGTTTTATAGTTTCTTTGTATAGGTCCTTTACCTCTTTTGTTAGATTTATTCCCAAATATTGATTTTTTTTGTTTCGATAATAAAAGGGGTGGTTTTTTTGATTTCTTCTTCTTCAGATTTATTGTTTGTGTATAGGAAGGCTACTGACTTTTGCGTGTTGATTTTGTATCCTGCCACTTTACTGAATTGATTGATGAGTTGAATTAGTTTTTCTGTGGAGATTTTGGGGTTCTCTATGTATATTATCATATCATCTGCAAATAGTGATAGTTTGACT